TCTCTCTCTCTCTCTCTCATAAATAAATAAATAAATAAAATTTAAAAAAAATAAAATAAAATAAAGTAGATTTGAGATCTAAAACAACAAACAGAACCTTAATTCAAAAATAAATCCTTTAATCCAAAAGGTAAGTAGTATTTTGTACAATAGGAAAGAAACAAAACCATCAAAATTATATCTTCATTTATAGAAATATATTATTTTTGATAGATGATGAATAGATTCGAGTTTAAGTTTAAGTTGCTAAGCTCATACCTCAGGCACAAAATATACTACTATAAAAATCACAAAAAAGTTAAAATTTTAATCTTAAAACCTTAATATTAGCAAATCACATACAAAATAACATGACATCCAATATTAATACTCAGATCCAGTAATCATAATGAAAAACATTAACCTGACCCTTCAAATTGCTAGTTTCAACACCTACAATCTTAAAGTCTCTGAACACATGCTCACTACTAAGCAACAGCAATGAAAACTTTAAATAACTTTGCTGAATTATTTGTCATTATTACCAGTCAAATAATCTATAATAAGATTTATTTCAAGGCTGTTCCAAGGTGATGAACTACAGCTAGTAGTTATAATCATGTACTACTATCCCACGTCCCAATCCATTACCAAACAGCTATCTACTACCCTTCACAATCTAGATTTGACTCCATCAAGTAATCTAAGATACTGGGTTCACAAGAAAAATACTGAACAACACTCCCTCTTACTCATAACATTTGAACATAATTCTGTCACTATTTTGCTTTCTTCTTCCCATTCTACTACCTTGTTTCTTTCCTATTGTACAAAATACTACTTACCTTTTGGATTAAAGGATTCATTTTTGAATTAAGGTTTTGATTAGGCAGCTTTTTACCTACATATAGGCTGAAAAAAATAGTATGTGATTGCAAAAAACTAGTCATTACTTACCACAATCAAGTTTATTGAAAGTTCTTTTTTCCAGGTCCACAACATCCATTCTCCCTCCTTAAGAGTCACCATCATAACCAGCTGATTTTAATTACACGCCCACAAGTACAGAGCAATGCACTAGTTTCAAAACAGTTTAAACAGAACAGACAATTTCCTTGTAAAAACCATGTACTTGCCTTGTGCCTGCATTTAAGTACAACTCCATAGGCTCCTATAATAAGAAAGAAGCAAACAATCAGAGGCATGTATACAAATTACAACTCTTGAGAAAAATCAAAGCTGTGCTACATGCACATTGCTTATCAGTACATGCTACAGTAACACAAAATGACAGTACTGAGTGATAATACAATAATAAGCCACATTCAAGCAGAACACATATAATTTCATAAATATTTTAAATGTTTCCCTTTTTAAAGAAAATTTCACTTGAGACATGTTTTAAAGTCTTAAGCATGTTTTGAGACAGGATTGTGGCATAAGAACTTTGTAAGTAAATGAAAATTAACTCAAAAGGTTCTAAGAAACTTAAAATTGAAAAGCAAATTAATTCCCAAGAGTAAGCTTAAGCATAGAGCCTACTAAAATATACTGTCTGTCCTAGAAGTCATTTAAACTCTCTTTAGGACACTGGAATATCCTTTTTGCATGCAAAACAAGTATAAGTCAGGTATGGGTATGTATCTCAGCAGTAGACTGCTTTGCTAGCATTCTTGAGGCCCTGGGTTCAATCAATCAATGACTACTATGAGTTGCTACCCTTTTGCCATAAGACTTAATTTTAGTGCACAGGGCACATGACTCCCACTTTATTTGGTTTATTTTGATAGGAATCATTCCTTCCTTTTGGGCTACTTATCCTTGTCAAGATAATTAACTTTCTTAGAGCAAAACAAAGAGGCATACCTTAATAAAAAGGAAACCAAGAAACATAAGTTAACATAAGTTAAAATTACAATGTGAGTAAAAGAATCAAAACACAATAGCTCAGCGGATTAAAGTGCCTGCAAGCAGGCACAGGGGCCAGGGGTTGGATTCCCAGGCCTGCTGTGCAGGGGTCCTGCCGTGCAGGGTGCAGGGGCCCTGTCCCCGGGGCATGCTGAGATGGCAATTGAGACTGGGCCGTGGTGGTGTGGGCCTGTAATGCCAGCTCTTGGGAGGCAGTAAACAGGCAGGTCGCTCTGAGTCCGATCTAGCAGTGAGACCCTGAATAGCCTGTAGACCCTTCCCTAAAATACAAAAACAAAACAAACACCATAATATATGATAACAGAGCTCTGAAAATAGACACCAAGAACAGTGGCATTAGCAGACAGGCAAACCCTGCATGCAGCTATGAGAAGAGGACTTTAGGCAGATGAAATTGAGAAATGTTTCCAACAGTCCTAAATGTTTCCTTCATTTTGGTGGTGGATGATGCTTATTATCACAATTAAGGTGGAACCAGCCATGAGAACCACCCAAATTAACTCCACAATCACTACTAAGTATCTAGTCCTCCAATCCAATTGTTCTAACTGCATATGTCAGTTTTTCTATGAAGTGAAAATGCACTATTTATGCTAATAGGAATGTAGGGTGTGCCTGACAAGATTTTTACATACTTGCTATATTTTTTCCTAAAACAATCTGAAGTGGTCTATAAAAATTTATACTCTCTACCTGTGATAGTTCTGATTATAATTTAACGTATTCTACATTACATAGGAATCTGATAGTTTCAGTTAATCTGAGCCAAAACCTGAGAAGATGATCACCTATGGGTATATGAGAAAATCAAGACTACGACCCAGAAAAACTTAGGCCCAGAATTTGGCAAATTCTAGCTTTGCTACCCCCTGTGTGCTGACTTTCTCCCGTCAGCAGTATTAGTGCCTGTCTGTAATTGCAATACTTCTGATAAATAAAATTTTAAAAGGCAGCTATTATAAAACATTAAGAAATTCAGGGCTGGGGAGATGGCTCAGTAGAATAAGCGCTTCCCTGGCAAGTGTAAGGGCCTGAGTTCAATCCCTGGTTCCGCAAAAAAAAAAAAAAGAAAGAAATTCAAAATGAATTTTATTAACATAATACCAATCAAAAAGGAAAAGGAGTGGAATTATTCTTTTCATATGTCATGAAGGCTAAAATGGATTTTCAACTTAATTATCTTGGGAGCTATCCCAAAGATTAATAAAGCACATTTTTACATGGTAGGTCACAGAGGCACGACCTGAGGGTATACATCTGTCCCTGGCCTCTTTATCGCTGGCACTTCTAACCTGCTTTGTTTCCTGGTCATCATTAACTGAGCAGCTGTGCCCTACCACACCTTTCCGCAAGGTTTCTGCCTTGGAGCCACAAGACCATTCCTGAAACTGTAAAACTGCAAGTGTTTTATATTTGGTCTGAGCAATGGGAAAGCTGACTAGTACATACGGTTGAAACCATATGTCAAAATTTGAAACAAGCACTCAATGATTAGATTCTACTTTGCTTCCATTTATTTGAAAAGGATTTACCAAATTAATATTAAAATTTTGAATAACTCTGCTATTCATCTAAGTTTTTAAACTTTTTTTGAAATTCAAAATTTGGAAAATATGAAACTTTTGTAACATTTGCTTTAAAAACATATATGCTAAAGAAGTTATAATTACAATCATTTACTTTCTATTAATAAAATCATTTATAAAGATTTCCACAAAGTTTTCTTTAAGTCAAGAGCAAAAATTATTAAGCAGAAAAAAATTAGGAATAAATGATGGCTTTTCTAAGAGTCAGCTTATGAAACATGAATTACCATACTTTATCAAATCAATATCAATGGTTATAAGAATTATTTTATGTACTATTAGGAAAGAAAATGTACTGCCACTTAAACCATGACAGATCTTGATTTTGGAGATGTTAAAATACACAAATTCTGTGCCAAAAAATTTACCAAATGAGGTTTATCATTGTCAGTAAAATAGAAGCTATTTATTCTTTTACTGATCATGTATTAAGTAAAATTTCACATGTATGAATAAATTTTAAAATCAACATAGTTGATATAAAATAAACTGCAACCTTAAAATAATATAATAATATTGTACTTAATAAACCATAATTACTAATGAAAAACTCAGGAGGCTGAGGCAGGCAGACCACTGCAAGTTCAAGGCCAGCTGGAGCTACAAAGTGAGTTCAAGACCAGCCTGAACTGCACAGTGAGGCCCTGTTTCAAAAAGACACAAAAAAGAAAGAAAGAAAAGAATGAAAGAAATCTTTGATTTATTAAACTTTTAAGAGTTATAAAGTATTATTGACTTTCAAATGAAGACTCAAATAATTTGAGTATCTTTATTTTATTTATTTATCATTATGTATTCATTTATTTTCTGTATTTAGGACAGGGTCTACAGGGTCTCACTACGGAGTTCAGAGTCACAGTGATTCCCTGTTTTCAGTCTCCCAAGCACTGGGATTACAGGCACAAGCCACCACACCCAGTCTCAATTGCCATCTCAGCACGTCACAGGAACAGGGTCAGCAAGGCATGCTGGGGATTGAAGCCCAGCCACTGCACTCTGCCTAAGAAGGTGCTTCAGTCCACTGTGATATCAGACCAGCCCTGAGTACCTTAATTTTAAATTTTAGACTCTTACATGAATATTTGAATTGACAAGTGATCTAAACTGGTAAATTTTAGATAGTAGGTATAATTGTACATGGCTCAAAACCTTAAGAAATGTAAAGGTTTCAACTTACCTTCACCTACAACCCCAAGGATCTCAAATTTATTCATCACATTACCAATGTTAGGAATCTTCATCAAGACAAACTCCTCTTTTGATGTAAGCCACAAAACATGGCACCAACACAGGAACTTCTGAGAAAGTTATGTAGAAACTAGAAGAAAAATGTCCAAAAGAAAAAATTCTCAATGCTTGGCAGGAATTTTCACATAGTCCCTTTAATAATGAAATATTAACTGAGTCCCTAAAATAACAAACACAATTAAAAGCCATTAGTTTTATATTGATTGCAGTACTCTAATAACCCATCCTTCCTTTTAGTACAGTTTTTTATATAAATTTTATTGAGAAAGAAGTAGCAATGAGACAGTTTCAAAACAGGTTAGTAGGACAGTTACAATAATTAATACATCGCATATTGTTGTCTTTGTAGTAGTTATTCATAGCACAAGATGCAGACATGATATCTTGTCTAAGCACTATTAGTTCAAAACTTTCTTATTGAACTAAGAGAAAGTAGCTATATATCCATACTATTTTGTATATACAGATATATATTTTTTCCAATGATTGATGGAAAATACCTGTTCCATGTTACGTCTAAGGCATTTGATATTCAGACAGATACTGATGTTAAGCTCAACAGCCTATGTTTTAGGGCAATAATATCATTAAGGTTCTCTTCTGGAGGGTTAACAACTTAAGTTTGCAGACCAAATAATTAGAGAAAAAAAAAGGCTACAAGGATAGCCAACATTTTGGCCCTAGCCTTTCAAGGTCAGTGAGGACTCAGGACATAAGAGAACCTGTACTGTAACATCCTGTAACTCAGTGGTGTCCCAAATTTTCTGTTCAAGGAGATTATGGGACCACAGAGGAAAATGATTGATGATGTAGAGTGTGCCTAAGGAGATTCACCTGGAGACAAAACATTCTCTCAGGCTTTCACAGAGAGCAAACTGGTCAAGCAATGCCCGTGACTCATCCACATGGCTGACATTGACAAAAGATCTACAAACTGCTGTACAGGATTTCAGGGTAAATCCGGAGAGGATTTGACAGACCTGTCAGATACAAAAGTTACATTTCTTGTTATATAGTTCTCGCTTTATCTTGGTCTTAACCATCCAGCAGAAAAGTATAAAAATGAAGTATAAAAAGGAAAGCCATATGAATATGCTGAGCTGTAAAAGGCTCAAGTCAACAACTTCTGACGTTTCCAGTCATGCAGATAACCACTACTATTATAGGCTACTGGACTATATTGGATTACTTTGCTGATTTCATGCACTTACAATATATAAATGGCAATGGAATACCCCTCTCTGACAAAAGTAAACAAAGAAGGAGAATATAAATTAGTACAGTTTTTTAAACTTCCTGTTAATGCTTCATACGCTGAAAGAAACAACAATAAGAGAGAAGAACCCAAACTGGAATGAACACACAGCAATTAAAATGAATACCATAATCACACTGAAAGAGAAATCAAGGAGAAAGAATTAACCCCAGGCAACTTTGGAAAACAGTACTTTAACTACCAATTTTCTCATACTAAAAAAAAATGAAAAATAAACAAATACTGTACTCTACCACTTAGATATCTGTTTTTTACACAGTGATATGAAACTTCTCTGTCTGTATGCTAGAAATGAACAAATTAAGTAAATATACTGTGGATGATGAGGTCTTGATTTCTTATTCTCATAAAAGGGAGATAGAAATATGACAAGGGAAAAGCTTGGAGTTGAAGTTAACAATGTAAGTTCAACTTTCCATATCTAGAGCAGTAGAAATTCATGTATTATAAATGATTACACACTCACATACACATATACCTTCAAAGTGTCTAGAGGCAATGACACACCACCAGCCATGAGCATAGCTAACCCTCCAACAAAAGAACCCAGCTTCCTTTGAGAAATGGCTGATTCCAAGCCTAAGGTAAGAAAGGCACAACATGATCCTAAGGAATTTTTTTTGTACTGCCAAAAAGTAAGCAAATGCTCAAAGAATGATGGGGGTGTGTCAGGTGGACACAAGAATCACCTTCAAGTGATTTCTACCAGTCAAGTGAGTCATATTAGAGCAACAAAATAGAGACATTAACAGATTATAATGTAGAAGAATAAAAAATTGCACAAGTCCTTATTGATATAAATAAATAAACAGAGAGAAAAGAAAGCTCTTTTGTAGAGTGTTTTTCCAAATAATATAGTCATGGAATTTTTTAAAATCTTCACTTGGCAACTGCTCTGGTTATAATTATTTTAGGCAAGTATCATCACTCTGTGCTAAAACAAGTAGTTCAAATTGTGAAGGAAAACAGGATATTATCTCATCTCAAAATATGTCCCCACAAGATACATACCAATTACAAAGTAAAAAATAATAATCTCAGAGCGAAGAATCCTACCAGACACAACTTTTACTAAATGATCAAAGTCAATATCATCAATAATGAAACAGCATTATATACCTACGAAAAGGATGTTATTACTTCATCACTTTTGTGGCATTCCTGACACAGGAATGCAATGTAAAACCTGAATCTAACCACAAAAATAACAGTTAAATACAATCCAAGAGATAGTCTACTAAATTACTGGCCTATATTCTTTCAAAAATGTTGAGTAACTTTGCCAGATTTTAAAAACCTAAGAGATGTGCTGAATAAATACAATGTATAATCGTATATTAGATCCCAGAAAAGACAACTGAGAAAATTTAAATGTCTAGAGATTAAATATTAGTACTGTACGTATGATAACTTCCTGGTTTTGATAATAATACTATGGATATAGAAAATAATGCTGATTTTAAGAACTAGTACCAGAAATTTTTGGATAATGGGGTATCATATTTGAAACTTACGTGTTTCAGAAAAAAACACATGTACATAAGACAAAAACAAGAGAATGATAAAGTAAAAACAATATAACAGTAACATTTGAAAAATCTAAGGTGGCATTGGTGGCACATGCCTAAAACTCAGCCCTCAGGAGGCGGAGACAAAAGAATTGCTCCAAGTTCAAAGTCATCCTGGGCTACATAGTTACTTCAAAAATAAGCCTAAACTACATTCTGAGACATTTTTGGAAAAAAAAAAAAAGGAAGAAGAGGAAGAGGAGGAGGAGGACGGAGGAGGACGAGGATGGAGGAGGATGGAGGAGGAGGAGGCATAGGAGGAGGAGGGGGAGGAGGAGGAGGAGGAGGAGGAGGAGGACGACGACGACGACGACCTGAATCAGAGCTGTAGAGAACCACCAGGGTGACTCTCCTCGAAGGAGAAAGAATTGTCTCCACTTTGACTGTATTTCAATGTACTGACTTGCACAAAGCTGGCTAGGACTTTTTTATCCATTCAACTGGCTTTACACAGTGCAGTCCAGCCCAGATGCTGGTGTGCAGTCTTTGAAGCAAAGAGACAGGGCAGTGCTTCCCCAGCCCCTTGTACCTCCCATGTGTGGCCAGGAGGGATGATTGAGCCTCAAGCTAAGAAGCAATAATTTCCCAGGGCATGAAAGACTACACATCAGAGCTGAAGCACCAACCCCAAAACATTAGATACTATCTCAGTGGTGTTATTCAGATTACTCTTTCCGAATATCCTTCTCTCTGCATATTGCAGAGGTGACTTGGGGCCTCAGACTTAACCCAGCTCACAGCACTCACAGACTTCCTGCCATTCCCACAGTCACTCATCCTCAAGCCACTCCCTTCTTCACGAATTAATAAAACCTGGGTTCGGCCCTGGGTCAAGGCCTATGTTTCAGTTAGCCATCATCCAGACGTAGACTTAGAACCCTTGGCTCCTCACAACTACAAATATGCCTTGGTGTCTTTATTCTTGCTATGTGCTTATTTATGGGTTGTACTAGAAATGGTAGGTGAGAGCTAACTTACTAGAATTCCAATAACTTTTCCATGGGATTACAAATATAAACTTCCTTGACTAAGATCAGGACCAGGAAAGGGTCCTTATAAGGGCTAGAAAAAATATGAAATTTTTTGTGCCATTATTGCAATTTTTCTCTAAATCTGAAATATTTTCAATGTAAGTTCTATTATTTATTCTTCTCTTTAAGACAAGATCTGCTGTCCAGACTAGCTTCAAACTGGTTATCCTTCTGTCTCAGGTTCTCAAGTGGATGTATTACTGGGATGTAACATTGTGCCTGATAATAAAATTATTTTAATTAGTTAAAAACTTATCCTACTTCTATAAAGAGTAATGGTAGTATCAACATAAAATGTTGGTTTAAAAGAAAAAATAAATCTCAACAAAGAAATGTTCAGGGCTGGGGAGATAGCTCAGTAGAATAAGTGCCTGCCTGGCAAGCGCAAGGCCCTGAGTTCAATCCCCAGTATCACAAAAAAGAAAAAAGAAAAAAAAGAAATGTCCTTCAATGCCTATGAAATTTGAAACCTCTAAAAAATAAGTCGATCATATGTGATATAAGTACTAACAAGACATGCCTTTTCAAACAGGGATGATATAAATGCAAACAATCTTTCTAAAGAACAATATGTTCATAATTAAATAATTTTAAAATGTTCATATTCCAATCAAGGTATCTAACAAAAGCCTACAACAAGCATTCTGAAATACGAAATATTAGACACAGTCTCTAAAATTAAGAACACGAGTGGGGATAGTGGCATATGCCTATAATCCCAGGTATTCAGGAAGCCAAGGCAGGAAGGTTGCATATTTGAGGCCAGCTTGGGCAACTTCATGAGATTTGGTCTCAAAATAAAAAACAAAAAGGAAAATAGGACTAGGAGTATAAATGACAGAGCATTTGTCTAGCCTATGTTAGCCCCCAAGTTTAATCCCCAGTACTAGAAAAAAAATAAGAACATGACAAGAAATTCTAGTGTTAATACTCATTAACATTATTATCAAAATTTTTGGTGTGTTCCAGCCATTGCAGTAAAGAAAATCTAAATGAATAAGATGTAGAGGATAAGAAAGATAAATACTAAGCAGAACTTGCAGGTGTTATTCTCTACTTAGAAAACCCAAAGGAATTTATAAAGTATTAGAATTATATGTGTTTAGTGAAATACCTGAACATAAGCTTAAATTACAACTATACATTATATCTGTAAATAGAAAGTGTTATTTTTCAATATCACATTTATAATAAT